GTAGTGTACCATACGTTTAATTCTTTCCACGTCAGGTTCACCGAGGGCTGTATATATAGTGCTACTGGAGGTGCATGCAAAGGTCATAGTGATAAAACAGATCACCCCGGTGTGATGCTGCTACATTCTGGCCGTTCAGGGTAAATTATTGTGAACTTTGCTGGCCACCCAGCTATTACGATAGGAATACACATGAGGCCATGTCACCAAGGTGGCAGTTGAGCCAGCCATTTGGTCCACGTGTTGAAAGTTCCTTTGCCACGTCCAATCAGTGCACTCTCCCGGGTTCTGTGAAGTTGGCGCTGGCAGCAAGATGATATTCTGATGCCAAACCTCTGCTTCAGTGGTTCTTCCTTGGTTTCTACTTGCCGTTGTATAGGGGAGGCATCCATAGGTGCTAACACATACAGTGAGGTCAGGCCTCCTCTGTGACTTTCACTGTTGAAGACGTAGCCTAGCAACAGGCCAGTTTCATCACAAAGTGGTGGATGTTCAAAGGATTTTCTCCACAGGAACCCATTTTCCCCATACAAACCCCCTCTGGTAGTCTCGCCTTGCAATCCACACTCTTTAAATCTTCCGCAATGGGCCCTGTGCGAAAAAGCTTGAGCAGTATAAACGCGTGCCAATATAGCAAGAGCCAGCAGCACCAACGAACAGATATAAGGAACGAGATGAAGCAAGATTCTGATATAGGTAAGAAAAATTATAATCATCCTCATGCTAGATTAGGTTACAGATAACAGCAGTTATATTAATCCTCAATCCAGTGGAACTTCAAGATGCATAAAGGCTTTGGGGTCAGTAGAACACATGTTTCAAAGCCATCAACAAGTGCAAATTTTGCTCCTCATGTAGGATGCATGCATGAGAGTGAAACTGTGGTTGGAATGCAGGAGGCAGACATTCCCACCAAGGTCTGGTGCACCATTATTTTACTTTTTTCCCCATGTGGGTTACTGAAGGGTCTGTATACAGTGCTACTGGAGGTGCATGAACAGGCCATATTTGTAAAACAGAACTCTCCATAAGATGCTACTGTTTTCCAGCTGTTAACGGTAAGTCATGTGAATGAACTGTTTCGGCCACCCAGGTATTATGGCAGGAACAGACATGAGGCCAGCTTCCAGGCCACGTCAACAAGGTGCCAGATGAGGCAGCCATTGTTTCATGGGTCAAAATTTTCATTGCCACGTACAATTAATGAAATCTCCTGGGTTCCATGAAGTTGGGGCTGGCAGCAAGATTTTATTCTGTTGGCCCAACATGTGTTCAGTGAGTCTTCCACGGTTTGTACTTACAGTTGAAGAGGGCAGGCATCCAGAGCTGTTAACATGTATACTGAGCTCAGATTTTCCATTGTGAGATACTCTGTTGAACATGCAGCCTAGCAACAGGCCACATACATCACAAAGCGGTTGATTCTCGAAGAGGATTTTAGCCATAGGAACCCATTCACCCCATTCTGTCCCCTCCAGGATGCTCGCCTCATGAAACACACTATTTAAATCTTCCCCAATGGTCTCAGTGCAAAAAAACCGCAGCACGGTAAACACATGGCAAAATAGCAAGAGAAGATAACAGAAACTTCATGATAATGAGAATTCAGATACAGCAAGATCTTGATACAATGAACGAAAATAATTACAATTCTCAAGCCAGATTAGGATCATAATAACAAAAGTTATAATAATCCTCAAGCCAGAGGAAGTTCCCAATGCATAAAGCCTTTAGGGGTGATAAAACCCATGTTTTACAGCTACCAACAAAGGGAAATTCTTGTCCTTCAGGTAGGATGCAGGCATGAGGGTGGATCTGTATAAGACTGTAGCAGTCACGTGGTCCCCTCTAGGTCTAGTATGCCATAATTGTACCTTTTTCCCCATGTGGTTTATTGAAGGGTCTATATATCTAGTGCTACTGGGGGTGCACGCACAGGACATAATAGTAAAACCAAACACCCCAGTCACACGCTCCTACCTTCTGGAGGTGCAGGATATAAAACTGTGATCTTTGGTGGCCACACAGCTGTTATGCCAGGATACACAGGAGTCCAGCTTCCAGGCCAAATTCTCCAGGTGCCAGGAGAGCCAGACGTCACTGGTCCATTTGTGACAAGGTGTGTGATCATGTCCACTCAATGGAGTCTCCGCGCATCCGCACTCTTGGTGGTGAATGAAAGATATTATTCTGTTTGCCAAACCTCGGCTTCAATTTTTCTAACATGGTTTGTACTTCCAGTTGTATAGGGGAGGCATCCACAGGTGTTAACATATACACTGAGCTCTGAGTTTCCTTTGTGAGATTCTCTGTTGAAGCCGTAGCCTACGAACAGGCCAGTTACATCACAAAGCGGTTGAAGTTCACTGAGGTTCCCGGCCATAGG